ATTGGTGTCACTGACCACAATAAAACCCCTCAGCATTGGTGTCAATGAAAAAAACTGGTTACTGATCACACTCTCCAGTGCCATACTCTCTCCCCTGCAACAGAACTTTGCTCGTACTGGTGGATGGAGATCACTCTGCCTGACAGTAGTGTCTTTATTTCAGGGGCAAGTACTGAAATGCAGAGAGCATTTTGGCGCCCTGCAACCTGGTGCTGCTCTGCAAAGTACCCACAGGTACCCAACAGGTAGCAGATGTAGGACATGATGGGCCATGGGTTGGGTCATAGGGGTTTGTGGGTATCCTTTCTCCATTCTGGTTGACCAGGTGTCTACAAAGGTCACAGATAACTCTAGACAGGCATTAAAGTACATAAATTCTCCAATGTTTATGTAACTTCAAAGCTTGTTTTCAGTCTCTTTAAATCTTTCATTAAAATAATACTCCGGAATCCTTCCATAAAGGTCTCTGTTTAGGCACTTCCTGTTATGGAGTGACAACTGACTTTCAGTCATACTCCTGCGTTGTCACCCTGTCACCTGCACTCTTGATGGAAGATACAAGCGGCTGTACTGACACATGTTGTGTAAGCATGGTTCAGCGCAGTTGGAGCTGGAGCGAGTCCATGTAAGCAGGATGTCGCTAAAAGATGCAGGAGGAGATCAGCAACACAGATTGCTTTTTGCTTTCTAAGAACATATAACAATTGTTTTATACAAAGTGTTTTAGGAAATGTAAATAATCCTTTTTAGGTTCCATTAATACTTATACAGGTGTGAGGGAGCTTGTGAGATTTTGTGCATTGTGACTAGGGCAGCCCATTTGTTTCAACGGACTACCTATGCGTGAAAATCGCAGAAAAGAAGTGCATGACCGCTTTTTAAAAATCCCACCCCACCAAAACGCACGGTACCTTGTTGTTATACATTTTGACATGCCTGAATGTGTGCACGTTACCAGGGTGCCATTGAGGGTTAATGACACCACCCTGCGCCTGCAAAAGGGCTGCACATGGCACTGCTGAGCGCATGCAATGCACAAATGTGAACCACGCATACTTGCCTTCTTTCCGAAGGTCCAATGCCTGCGAGGGTTGACAGCATTGTTCTCTTTTCCCTTTTCTTTTGGGTGCCGGTCTTCGACCATTTTGATTGGCTGCCTCGGGATGTCATTACTGTGCATATGCAGGAATGCGGTCAGCCTGGCACACTGATAGTGTGCCAGAAAGTCAACTGAGCTGTGCATGCGAAGCTCTGTGTACTTTCTGCAGTTGCATGTCTCTTCTGTAATAAAAAGCTTGCCTGTTTGCATTTTTTTTTCTTTTAATCGTTCCACTTTAAGGTGTAGTTTACTTTGAGCAGAAACAGAGGGAGAACTTGTATTCAAATTTGTGACTGTATAGGTAGACTGACACTGGATTGCCCCCCCACTGCTGAACGTTGGTTGTCATACAAATCATACACAGGATCCTTGTATCTTCAGCACTCATTGTAACATCATTCTATAGGAACAGTTAATGTACACTTTGGAATGTATCTGTCATAACCACAAGGACGTTTCCCCGCAGCAGCCTGTACAGTGTGACTGATGACACGTCTGGTGGTCGGCTTAGATTGGTACTGTGTGCAACACAAACATATCAGAGCAGACCAGTCTGACGGGAGACCGTTTGCAGGTCTAAAGGGGGTTCCCAAGCACAAGTGAAAAAATCTGTCCAAGGCTGCCATACATAGAAGTTTCTATTCCATTTGACCCCAGTAGCCCTGCTTCCCCCAAAAACTGAAAATGTGACCACTATTTGTCGCCTTTCTGACCTCCCCCCTTACTAATGAGCAAAATAATGACCTATATGACTGTCTATCATTAGTGTTGACACCCCAGCATTACAGGAGTCTGGTGTTGATCCTGCCAGCAGATCCGTTATTTTTCCACTTCTGCAAGAGTGACAACTTTGTTCTACAGAGAAATTGCACAGCAGTGCTGTCACCTTTAAAAAAGAATAGTTTTGGACATGTAGTTTTAGATGGCACTGCAGCCCCCAGTACGACTATTACATTGCAGCATGTACTCCAGTACGCCCATCCCATTGCAGCATGTATCCCAGTACGCCCATCCCACTGCATCATGTACCCCAGTATGACGTCCCACTGCATCATGTACCCCAGTATGACGTCCCACTGCATCATGTACCCCAGTATGACGTCCCACTGCATCATGTACCCCAGTATGACGTCCCACTGCATCATGTTCCCCAGTATGACGTCCCACTGCATCATGTACCCCAGTATGACGTCCCACTGCATCATGTACCCCAGTATGACGTCCCACTGCATCATGTACCCCAGTATGACGTCCCACTGCATCATGTACCCCAGTATGACCGTCCCACTGCAGCATGTACCCCAGTATGACCGTCCCACTGCAGCATGTACTCCAGTACGCCCGTCCCATTGCAGCATGTACTCCAGTACGCCCGTCCCATTGCAGCATGTACTCCAGTACGCCCGTCCCATTGCAGCATGCATGTACTCCAGTACGCCCAGTCCCATTGCAGCATGTACTCCAGTACGCCCGTCCCATTGCAGCATGTACTCCAGTACGCCCGTCCCATTGCAGCATGTACTCCAGTACGCCCGTCCCATTGCAGCATGTACTCCAGTACGCCCGTCCCATTGCAGCATGTACTCCAGTACGCCCGTCCCATTGCAGCATGTACTCCAGTACGCCCGTCCCATTGCAGCATGTACTCCAGTACGCCCGTCCCATTGCAGCATGTACTCCAGTACGCCCGTCCCATTGCAGCATGTACTCCAGTACGCCCGTCCCATTGCAGCATGTACCCCAGTACGCCCGTCCCACTGCAGCATGTACCCCAGTACGCCCGTCCCACGGCAGCATGTACCCCAGTACGACCGTCCCACGGCAGCATGTACCCCAGTACGACCGTCCCACGGCAGCATGTACCCCAGTACGACCGTCCCACGGCAGCATGTACCCCAGTACGACCGTCCCACGGCAGCATGTACCCCAGTACGACCGTCCCACGCAGCATGTACCCCAGTACGACCGTCCCACGGCAGCATGTACCCCAGTACGACCGTCCCGTCCCACGGCAGCATGTACCCCAGTACGACCGTCCCACGGCAGCATGTACCCGTCCCAGTGTACGCCCGTCCCACGGCAGCATGTACCCCAGTACGACCGTCCCACGGCAGCATGTACCCCAGTACGACCGTCCCACGGCAGCATGTACCCCAGTACGACCGTCCCACGGCAGCATGTACCCCAGTACGACCGTCCCACGGCAGCATGTACCCCAGTACGACCGTCCCACGGCAGCATGTACCCCAGTACGACCGTCCCACGGCAGCATGTACCCCAGTACGACCGTCCCACGGCAGCATGTACCCCAGTACGACCGTCCCACGGCAGCATGTACCCCAGTACGACCGTCCCACGGCAGCATGTACCCCAGTACGACCGTCCCACGGCAGCATGTACCCCAGTACGACCGTCCCACGGCAGCATGTACCCCAGTACGACCGTCCCACGGCAGCATGTACCCCAGTACGACCGTCCCACGGCAGCATGTACCCCAGTACGACCGTCCCACGGCAGCATGTACCCCAGTACGACCGTCCCACGGCAGCATGTACCCCAGTACGACCGTCCGTCCACGGCAGCATGTACCCCAGTACGACCGTCCCACGGCAGCATGTACCCCAGTACGACCGTCCCACGGCAGCATGTACCCCAGTACGACCGTCCCACGGCAGCATGTACCCCAGTACGACCGTCCCACGGCAGCATGCATGTACCCCAGCAGTACGACCGTCCCGTCCCACGGCAGCATGTACCCCAGTACGACCGTCCCACGGCAGCATGTACCCCAGTACGACCGTCCCACGGCAGCATGTACCATGTACCCCGTCCCACGGCAGCATGTACCCCAGTACGACCGTCCCACGGCAGCATGTACCCCAGTACGACCGTCCCACGGCAGCATGTACCCCAGTACGACCGTCCCACGGCAGCATGTACCCCAGTACGACCGTCCCACGGCAGCATGTACCCCATGTACGACCGTCCCACGGCAGCATGTACCCCAGTTACGACCGTCCCACGCAGCATGTACCCCAGTATGACCGTTACACGGCAGCATGTACCCCAGTATGACCGTCCCACTGCAGCATGTACCCCAGTATGCCCATTACAATGCAGTATGTACCCATGTATATCCATCCCACTGCAGCATGTACCCCAGTATGCCCATTACACTGCAGCATGTACCCCAATACGACCACCACACTGTAGCATGTACCCTAGTATGTCCTGAGCCAATGTTCCCGGTCCGTGATACCTATAACTAGTTCAGGGACATTTGAGTCAGAACAACTTTTTTTATATCTGTCTACAAAACTCAACATCATTGGAGAAGCTGCAGTACGATGGTTGATCGTATTGTATATTCAATTCCACCTTCTCATCCTGTGTAAAGTGTATGAACAGAACTCCGGTACAAGCTCTTCTATAAATACCTCCTCTAAGACCAGACTATTATTGAAAGTGTCTAAAGTTCTTGATTATTCTATCATTATTCCTTTTTATATTCACACATTGCCATAGCAACTACTAGGATAGCGGTGAAATGCGTTTACCCGGTGCCTGGTTCATCTGATTCAGTACTACCTAGACTTCAGAGTCACTAGTTTGATGTTCGGCATAGCAGAGAGGCCCCCGGGCCGGGTATAGAGGACAGTATTGGAGAAGTGCTTGCTGTATCATATTTCAGATTTTGTATGATTTTGGTGTTCTGTGATGTGCAGGATATTAACCACACGCTCTATGCCTTTGCAGCTGGCGTCATCCGTGACTGTGCGCTGGGTATGGACGACTCTCCTGACCCCTGGAGGACTACAGTAGTTTGCTCTGTGAGATTCAAGGAGAAGTAGGAGGCTGCTGGTGAGGAGGCTGCCGGTGAGGAGCCCACCAGGACGAAGCCATGCCGTTCAAGATCAAGCTGCGGAGGACCAAGCGCTACAATGTCCTGAGCAAGAACTGCTTTCTGAGCCGCATAAGACTCCTGAACTCCTCGGAGATCCAGTGCACGCTGTCCATGGACAGTACAGGACTGGAGTGTCTGGAGGCCGTAGCGCAAAGACTGGAGTTATGTGAGGTAAGGGGGGCTCCTGCCAGAGGTGGACAAAATCTTTTCAAAGTTGGATTTTAAAGTGTTAGTCCAGCTTACACTGGACACCCTGACCACCGGTACTCCCCCACCATCCATGCTGTACCTACCTCCAGGGTTGCTGAGCTGTCTGTGACCCGACAACCTGTCCAGCAATCTAGGGATTTGAGATCCCCGCTCTTCTCCCTCTGCTCTGTGTAGCGCTTCCAGGACAGATCAGATCGTTTCTGATTGGCCAGCACCTCACAGTGAATCAATCTAGTCCATCCTGGAAGTGCTACACAGAGAAGAGCGGGGATTTCCAATCCCTAGATTGCTGGACAGGTTGTCGGATCACTGAGAGCCCACCTTCCCCAGAGGTAAGTACAGCAGGAACCGGGGGGGGGGGGGGGGTATTGGGGAGCTTATCTGGTCCCTTACATTTCTGTAAAGGCAAATTGAATTTTTAGCCTCTTCTTCTGGCCTTTGGGCCCTTAGGAGGTTTCAGATGCCGGGAGGCGGGCATTTTGGTCATGTGACTGCAGTGATTGGCCGACTTCAGATGCGACTTGCAAGACATCTGCGACTTGCAGGACACCGATGTCTATGCAAGTCGCACTTGAACTTGCAAAAAAGTGCATGCACTACTTTAGAAATCAGTGCGACTCCGACGAAGTACCCCAGTATGCCTATTACAATGCAGCATGTACCCATGTATGCTCATGTCACTGCAGCATGTAATCATTTTATGCTCATCCCACTGCAGCATGTGCCCCAGTATGCCCGTTCCACTGCAGCATGTACCCCAGTATACCCATACCACTGCAGCATGTGCCCCAGTATGCCCATTTCACTGCAGCATGTACCCCAGTATACCCATCCCACTGCAGCATATGCCCCAGTACTCCCATTCCACTTCAGCATGTGCCTCAGTACATCAATTCCACTTCAGCATGTGCCCCAGTATGCCCATTCCACTGCAGCATATACCCCAGTATACTCATCCCACTGCAGCATGTACCCCAGTATACTCATCCCATTTCAGCATGTGCCCCAGTACAGTACGCCCATTCCACTGCAGCGTGTACCCCAGTACGCCCATTCCACTGCAGCATGTGCCTCAGTACGCCCATTCCACTGCAGCATGTGCCTCAGTACGCCCATTCCACTGCAGCATGTACCCCGTTACGCCCATTCCACTGCAGCATGTACCCCGTTACGCCCATTCCACTGCAGCATGTTACCCGAGTATGCCCATTCCACTGCAGCATGTACCCTAGTATGGCCTAAGCCTATGTTCCCAATCTGAATTTCGGCCAGTCCAGGATGCCAATAATTAGTTCAGGGACATTTGAGTCAAAACAACTTTTATATATAATCTGTCTACAAAACTCAACATCAGTGGAGAAGCTGCAGTACAATGGTGGATTGTGTATTATATTTACCATATTTTCCGGCGTATAAGGCGACTGGGTGTATAAGACGATCCCCTAATTTTCCAGTTAAAACATAGGTTTTGGGCTATACTCGCCGTATAAGACTACCCCCCTTGAGGCAACACCATTTAAAAACAGCAGATTTTTTTATTGAAATGGTTATGACTTACCTGTACTTAAAATCCTTCAAAATCCTCATGTTCATCATAAGTTCATGAATGTATCTTGTGATACATTTGTAAGACAGTCATCATATGGATCAAATTCCAAATCAGATGGTTACCGCTGGATGTGCGGTAATACGGTAGCTTCGGCTACATACAATATACAGTATATATACAGCCCACTGGATGTGCAGTAATGTACATACAGTATACCGTGCTGAGCCAAGCTGGCTCCAAACAAATGTCCCTATGACAGATTAATCTGTCAGCCCGCTGGATGTGCGGTATATACAGTATACTGAGCCAAGCTGTTACAAAACGTACCGGTACGTCCCTACGGTAATCAGACCGCTGGATGTGTGTATGTACGGTAGCTGTGGCTACATACAGTATACACTGGGCCAATCACGGCGAGCGATGTATTCTACTAATGAATACAAAGCCTGCTCGGATTGGCTGAGGTTGTGACATCATCAGCCCACCTCTCTGACTCAGCCAATCCGAGCAGGCTTTGTATTCATTAGTAGAATACATCGCTCGCCGTGATTGGCCCAGTGTATACTGTATGTAGCCGCAGCTACCGTACATACACGCATCCAGCGGGCTGATTACCGTAGTAGGGACGTACCGGTACGTTTTGAAACCGATTGGCTCAGCGCAGTATACGGTATATACCGCACATCCAGCGGGCTAATGGATAATCTGTCATAGGGACATTTGTTTTGAGCCAGCTTGGCTCAGCGCAGTATACTGTATGTACAATATTACCACACATCCAGCCAGCTTGACCCAAACAAACTCAAGGTTCACATGTTATACCCCGCGTATAAGACGACCCCCAATCTTTGGGGTATATTTTTAAGTATAAAAAGTAGTCTTATACGCCAGAAAATACTGTAATTCCACCTTCTCATCCTGTGTAAAGTGTATGAACAGAACTCCGGTACAAGCTCTTCTATAAATACCTCCTCTAAGACCAGACTTTTATTAAAAGTGTCTAAAGTTCTTGATTATTCTATACCTTACCGTTTTCATTACACCCCTTCTCCTCCAGTACACAGATCACAGTGTGCAGTGAAATCAGAGTAAACTGTTTCAGTACAGGGGAGGAGCCTATACAACTTTACAAGACTAAAGTGGGAATACACAATTAGAAAATCGACGATCGGTCATCCAACGACCGAGAGGCGATTTTTCATTGGTCGAAATCGTGGCCCACATTAACCAATCTAAAAAAATTGTTCGTCGGGCAATACATAGTGTTGACGTCTTCCGTACAAGTGGAAGCGATGGAGTGTGCGTGTGACCTTGTAGCCACGCCCTTCAGGCCAGAACGAGCGATATACACAATATAATCAAAGAAATGAGAATAATATAGTTTATTACATTATCTATATACATAAATAGTGATACATAAAATATAATCTGCAGAATTCTAGTTTCATTATCTCATTGGGCCAATCTACTTTTGGATTTTTTGTTCGTGTTTATGAAGATTCCTTGGACATAAACATCCGGGTCATCTTCTGTTTCCGCTCATGTGTGATAGCGCTTGATAGATTTTTTTCATATGACCGTCATACCACCGCATAGAAAAAACAAACATTTTTTACTGTTGTTCAACCGGATTTTTTAGTTCACAATATCGTTATCGGTTAAAACATCCTACTCATCAACGAAGAGAAAATTGTTCGTTCAGTGGTTCCGAGAAATTTTTTGTAAGATTTTCTTATCGTGTGTAAGGGGCGTAAGTCTTCGGTCACACTAATCCAGCTTTGAAATTGTGCGACTTCCAGAGAAGTCACACGATTTCAAAGTCGAATGTCATTCCGACTTCAGACGCGACTTGCAGGACACAGATGTCACCTGAACTTGCAAAAAGTAGTGCATACATTACTTTCAAATTCGGTGTGACTCTGACGAAGTTGGAATCGCACCAATATGACTGCTTCAATTACGGACAATAGGCTGTGATTTGTCATGTGATTTGAAACTCTCATTGCATGACAAGTCGCAACGGTATGACCGCGCACTAAAGGGAAGGCTGGAGTTCAGCTTTAAAGATGACCTGGAGTCAGATGGCTAAATACCTGAAATCCATTTACAAGTATTTCTAATTCTGTTCAGTAGTCTTGTGGTTCACACCTTGCCACACTGAACAGCCACTCAGATGACACCATTATTCTCTAGTTTAGCATTGCAGCTTGCGGTGTCACTCAACAATCTGAATATTCCGTTTTATTAAATAAATATCAAGGGGTGACATATCAAGCTGCACAGTGGTGTTGCCATCCTGCTTGTGCATGGGATGTATGAATCACAAGACTGAATAAAATTACAAAACCTTTTGGCAGATAACAGTTTAGTTGCTTTTCTTTTGAGTATTTAGCTGTGAGCCAGGATTTCCTTTTTAGCTTATTAGCTTGTTTTGTCACTACCTACACATTGTTACTGCAAGTGACGGCGCTCACATTGTGACAGATACCTTAACATATACAGTATGAAGAGGGAGGTTGCAGTGAGATTCTGCAGCCTATGAATAGTAGGGGGCAGTAGTGAGATGTGCTATGATTGAAATGCATACAGTATGTTCATTCTGTGTTTACCTCTCCTGTATAGCATTTTAGTAAAGCACAATACAGTGCTGTGGTGTTATGTTGGTGCTCATTGGATACATACATTTAACATTTTTTAAAATCTATAACCGTCTATTGCTGTAACTTTAATTTCAAAGCTCTCTGGTTTGGCACACATGCAATGCGACAGGGAGTGTGTGCTTTGTTAATATAAATAGGATTGTTTTTTAGAGTTAGGTGTAATGGTATGTGTGTTGGTACAAAGGCTTGTCCCAAGAGCAATTGAGCTTGACATTGTTTAACTGAGGGGGAGAGGGCACACTGCAGGGGTTTGCTATTGGCCACTCATTCCTGCGGTGCCAGGGATGGGGGGTGGTTGTACATCTAGTCAGGGGCGGACTGACCATTTGGAAACTCTGGCACTGCCCGAGGGCCCGGGGTCAGTAGGGGGCCCCATGAGATGCCCCTGGTACTTTTTTTCATAGGCTTTTTGAGTTTGGGCAAGGACACAGGGGACTCGTGATCCCCTATTGAGGGACAGTTATATTAAATTTTTATCATAGAAAAAAGTAGCCCCTGAGCTCCAGGCAAAAGACATACATACATACATATATATATATATATATATATATATATATATATATATATATATATATATATATATATATATATATATATATATATATATATATATATATATAATTATTATTATTATTATTATTATTATTATTATTATTATGATACTATTAGTCTGTAGAACAACCCATTCAGTTTAAAATAGAAATGAAGAGCACAACATTTGTGTGCATATATAAAAAAAATATGCTATAAAT